CGGTTCTGGGAGCGATGATCTGAAGCGGGCTGGGGTGTGAGTGCAGGGTGCACCTCTGCGGGGTGGCACTTACCCTGTGACAAAGGAAAGGCGGCTGCTTACGGTGGCGGTTCGTATCTCACCGCTGCGGTTTGGGTAATTACAGAATCACAGAATGGTGGGGGGTGGAAGGGGCCTCTGGAGATCACCCCGGCCCAACCAGATCACCCAGTCCAACCCCCTGCCAAAGCAGGGTCACCTACAGCAGGTGGCACAGGACGGTATCCAGGAGGGTTTGGAACATCTCCAGAGATGGAGACCCCTCAGCCTCTCTGGGCAGCCTGTCCCAGGGCTCAGCTGGTGTGTTTGACCTGACGGAGAGCAGGGGTTTGGATCCGTGCGTTATTGCGGGTATGGCATTGCATGTTTTGAAAGGATGACTGTCTGAGAAGGTGGCTCCAACCTCAACCTGTTTTCCTTTCTCAGGTCATGTAGAAGAGCAGATTTAATGTGAAGATGGGACTGTTGGTGTTTATGCGTAACCTGCTGCTAGCCCTCTGCCTCTTTTTGGTACTGGGATTTCTCTACTATTCTGCTTGGAAGTTGCACCTTCTCAGATGGGAGGATTCAAGTAAGTGTGAGCACCACATAACTGTTTCTGGGCTCCTTAAAATATCTATCAAATAGTTGAAGTACTACTGAGGTGGTTCTGATTTAGTAGTGTTAGAAGGATGTAAGCCCAGTCAAATGCTGGAGCTTTTAGTATACTTAAGGGGTTGAATTTGTGATTATTTAATGCTCTTTGTGGCTTTACTTTTATTAATGGATACAAAAGCAGGTTCACACTCTATAAATCTAGTATTAGAGACTTCACTTCTTAGAATCTTCAGTGTTAGTTTATGATTCCTAATTGTCAAAATAAAGAGTTTGTGCGCTGAGGCTTTTGTTCCCTGAATCTCTCTGCACATTTAAAAATATCTGAGATAAGAGTTTTTTCTCTGGTGGATTTGGATTTCTTTCTATAATCATATATGCTGGTTATCTCATCTTCTTACTTTGTCCTTCAGAAATCCTCATCTTCTATTTATCTTCCATGCTATTATCTGCCAGCTATCTGTCATCTGAAAGGTTGTCTCTCAGCCTTTTTATGTCCAAGAGACATCTGACCTCATTGAATACAATCTGAGGATTGTTCTGTGCTGTAATGCCATAGGAGGTTTTAGTTGCATTGTGATATAAATTAGAATGAGGTTTGATTGCTCAGTTACTGCTCTTATCTTTGCTTGTATTGATTGCTTTCTTGCTTGTGTGTGAGAACTGTTTATTGAAAATATAAAAACAGTAAAACAATTCCCTCCTCTCCCCTTCCTGCCCAAAACACAAGCCAGCCTTCTTTGCAGCTGTTCCGCGGGCTGTTTCAAATGTCTCGCAGCCGACCGTTGCTCCCTGGATCAGTGGCTGAGAAATGCTGATACAGAGGGGTTGTTTTTCTGTCCGACAAGAAGCCGTTGGTCAAATTCCATCTTCGCTGTATTGCATTTCTGTGCTTGCTGCTGGAGGTTTCTACTGCAATGCTTATTAAACTTAGTATTATTCTGCCTCTACATGCTCTGTGTCTGTTGTTACATGCTCTGAGTTTGCATGATGATGACTTGGCTATGACATTTGCACTGATGCAGTGATTTGACAGGAGGACTGCTACAGTGTCTTGTACTAGAACAGGTATTGGAAGACTGAATTTGTAAAAGCAGATGCATAGTGTTTTTCTGAGCAGGGATTGTTTCTGCTGGTTTGTGCTCCAGAGAGGAAGTAAAAAATCTCGATTGTGACCTTTTGAAAACTAGTACTTTTGTCGATGAGGTATAGAAAATCCTTCCTGCATGAAATTAAGTACAGAATGTAGTTAAAAGAACAGTTTTGCCATATCTGCTACCACGTGATTATCTGTTACAAACTTATACCACCTGCAATCCTTTGCTTCCTTCGTACCACCAGAAATTATACTGGGACTCTCCAAGACCTGCAAAAAAACCCCTTCAGGCCACAGTTTGTACGTGAACTTCGTTAAACGTGGAGGAGAAGGGTTGTGTTTATGTGCCATATACCAAGGTGCTGGGATGGCTTCTAAATTTCTTCAGGTTTCACCTCTTTGGATCTTGTGCCTTTAGTTTTTTGCTCCATTTGTTATTTTATGCCACATCAGTCCCTGGGGAGTTTTGTGGTAACTGTGCCTTGTGATGTAATGTTGTAAATCTATATGCAAACATTGTGGATTTCTATAAATGGAACACTTCTATACAGAAAGGTGACTTGAAGTTGCAGCCTAGTTAGAGTGATTTCTGTTGAGTGTACTGGCTGTTTTCGGGTACTCTGACAGGAGCACTGTGAGGTGGTGTCGTAGACTTTTTGTTAGGTGTGTGTCTCCTTTTTTCTAATCTTGTGTGTAAAACGTGTTCTGCATTTATTCTTGGAAGTCACAGTGTTTGCATTAAGCTTCTTCAACGTGTACAAACAACATGCTGGTCTTAAGATTTAGCTTTTTGATCTTTATCAGTTGTCACGATTGATATAGGCTCTGCCATTGTTCCTTTTCTTCTAGACGCTTTTATGGATTGTGTCTTAAATATCAGATGAAGCTCCTTGAAATATTAGTAAAAACAGCAGTCTAGTGTAAGAGGGCAAAATTTCATGTGATTACTTTTGAAAACAGTTAAGGTGGTACCAGTTTTCAGGTGATCTTCAGAGTTTTGTATCAAAAGTGTTTTATTTGTCCTTTCATTTTACACATGAGGAACTTTGGCCGATTTAAAGTTCAAATTTAAAAGCTTGTATTGGGAAACTTGATATGAAGAGTTAATGTTAAGCTTCTATAAATAAGTGTTCGGAAGTTAATAAATGACAGAATTTAAGTTGCTCATTTAACCTTGATTAGGCTTCCTTGAGCATGTGATACAATGTATAATGGTGCAATTATACTTCCTATTTTCTGAAGGCAGCCTTGTTTAGTTCAGTGCACAAGACAGGTGGTGGTTGATAGCTGTTTATGGTTTTATTTCCTGGATTACTGTTGAGTGTGTGACCTTGCAAATTTCCCTAAGATTGATATGATAATGCTGATGTCCTTGAAGGCAGAACTAAGTTAGATGTGTTAATTTTGGGGTGCTTAATAATCTAAGTATATTGATTTTATGTGTAAATTATGATCTTATTAAATTATTTTCTCTTTTCTTGTTACCAGTGTCTTTATTCTGCTTAATAGTGACTCCCTAGCTTCAGTAGTCACATTCGTCTTTTCTCTGTTCTGTTCTTTGTGCTAGAGGAGGCACGAAACTAAGCAGGTCCTGACATCAGACACTCTTGCAATCTCTTCAGAGACTAGTGTTGGTAAACTTGAGGCCTGTATTTAATATTGAACACAAATGAATTTGCCATACAGAACAGTGCAGAATACCTGATCTGCTTACTTCCTGCCTGTGTGGTTCATTCGTTTAGTGTTTTAGAAAATGACGGTGTTGGTTGTTGTTATGGATGAATTAAAATGGTAACTCTTTGAGGAATCTAGTCATGCTGAGACTTGATGTTTGTCTATTTAGCTGATAAAGTCAATAAATAGTTCATTTATTTGTACTTCTCACACCTCCAAGAAAAGAGGCTAGACTTCTGAATAGACTGAAAGATACACATCAGGGTTTCTCTTACTTACCATTTAACTTTAAATCTGTCCTCCTTGAGTGATGCCTTAGTGAGTTCTGAGAGATTGTTCACCTTGCTGTGTGACTGTACACCTTGGAGAACATGAAAGAATTAATTCTCTAAGGCTTATCTTTCTTGTGACAAGAATAGATTGAATTCAGCTAATGTGAACTAATTAAGGTTGAATTAAGTTCAACTGCTTCTTCCTTTCAAGACAAACCTGCAGTAACTGCTGCCCCTCTCTCATCCTTTCAGTGAACACCATTACTGGCTGTTCTTCCCCAGCCTTGTTTTGTGTCGGTGTCAATATATTGTTGGTTCTCAGAGCAGCAGCAAACTGCAGAGAAGTGGGGTGGAACACTGTGAATGCAGGAGGGCCTTTGAGTTCAGGTGGTTGTTTGGTCTATGAGCAGTGTTTAGAACAGAGGCAAGCTTTCCTTTTTTTTTTCTTTTTTCTTTGCTGATTTCTGTAATGCAGCTTCAGTCTCCGACAGTAACGGGAGGAAATGCACACTGACCTTGCACGTTCTTCCCAGACAGGCAATAGTGACAGATGCCACAGCCCTCTGATTAAGTGTAGTGAGTTGCATGGAGGTGTGCTAAGCACATGGAGCTGATAACGTGATGTGGGAGACAAACAAGGAAATAAAACATTTAGTATCAGGTTTAGCTGTCCTGTACGTTCTAGAAGGACCTGGCAGCAGCAGGTGATCATAACGCTGTTGTGTTTCTGAACACTGAGTTGTCAGGGAGTTCTTACAGTAGTAAGAACTCAATAGTAATGGTAGTGATAGGAGCAGGTTTTGAAGGACTGAGACATGCACTGCAGCCTCATTTCTAACAACTCCCTGTCCTGTCCCTTCCACCTTCCCTGGTGCATCCAGTCCCTAACATTCTGTGATTCTGTGTGATTTGGCTCTGGGGAGGAAGGAAGATGTTATCTGTACAAGTGTGAGGAAGACAGCGTGAGTGTGACAGCCCTGGGAAGGTGCCTTCTTATTTTTGAAAAGTACAATGGGAGATGGAGTCTTGCGGACAGTGCCTCTTAGATTTGCTTTATCAGCTTGGAGCATTTTCACCCACACCTCTGAAGGACAGAATCACAGAATCACACAGAATCACAGAACGTCAGGGATTGGAAGGGACCTCAAAAGATCATCTAGTCCAGTCCCCCTGCCAAAGCAGGAACCTAAACGAAATTACACAGGAAGGTGTCCAGGCAGGTCTTGAATGTCTCCAGAGAAGGAGACTCCACACCCTCCCTGGGCAGCCTGTTCCAGTGCTCTGTCACCCTCACTGGAAAGAAGTTCCTTCTCAAGTTTAAGCGGAACCTCCTGTGTTCCAGCTCACACCCGTTGCTCCTTGAATATAGCAATGTTAAAATTTAATACTGATGTTTGTTACTTAACCCGGTATGTGCATAGCTGATTTAGCACCTTGAAAATGAATGTGCTGTAAGGAAGTAATGATTCCATTAAAAAATGTCCTGGCTATGGAAATACTGAACTCATTCACCAAGACAGTTTTTTTTTTCTCCTCTCTCTGTTTGTTTTTTTTTTTTTTCTCTTTCTCTCAGAGTATTGAAATATACATGGGACAAGGACAGTGTGACATTTTCTTGTTCTCTGTTGTATTTCCAGCTACATTAGCGTTGAATTAATTTAAATAAATATATACTTTACTTGAGGTAGGTTGTCAAAACCTAAGTTAGTACAGTTTGTCACTATAGATTTTGAGCCTGTCAGTTTGCATGTGGCTTTTGAAACATCCCCACATATTTTCTGTTGATGTCTCCATAAAGAAATCAAGTCACTACTCTGTCATCTGTTGCTCAGTGTTATTTTCAACTCTAATTCTGGAAAGGCAGCCAAAGGGATAAAGCTCTGGGAAGAGATTTTTCTGAAGGTATTTGAGGACCCTTATCCTTTTTCTTTTCTT